AGGAGTCGGGCCCGGCCAGCATCTGCCGGGATGCGGGCCATGCCGGGGAGGCGGGTGTTGGCCCGCCGAAAGTGCATCTCCCGTAGCTGCTCTCGGTCCCAGGGTGGAAGTACAGCTGTATATACGATATTTAAAGAGAGGAATTATTTTTCGTGAGAAAAGGAGCCTGATCTAGTGACCTTGTTTTAATAGCCTTAGCCCCCGAGCTTCAACATTTAAGTTATTGTGAGGTGTTTTGTTTGCTGTACTCTGTACTAAGATAGTCGAGAAGGTAAATGTTCATACTGAGTCAATGTCAAGTCATATAATAGCTAGCAAAACGTATGGAAAATTAATCGTGCTGTCTGCTTAATTGAAATACGAGGTGTTGATCTTCTATAGCTAAGTCCGCATCTCCCGCTTACTCTGTGTTTCTGTACTCTAGCGCCAGTGCGGTAGGCAAAACGCACATCTCCGGCAGCTGCTCGTTCCAAAACCCGCTCTGTTAGTGGCTCGTTAGTGTGGCGCGGACAATAGCCAGAAGCGCGGTTCGGCCTCGCCAGGCCGGGCAGCACGCGGCCCTGCCAGCCCCTGCGCTGCAGGCAGGCAGAGGGTCCCCTTCCCGCCGTCCTGGGCGGCCTCCAACCCCTCTCCCCCATGAGCCGTGCTGTTGATGTGAGCTCCTCAGAGTCTTGTGAACAGCTGGAATTAGAACATGAAACAGTCTTTTGATATGTTGCTAAAGCGCAGATGATGAGCTACCTTCCTTCTCCCTAACGAGACCCACCTTTGGCAAAGCAACCCACGGTGTGTATTCCCCGGCTCTAACAGTGGTTTGGCCAAATGCTTTGAAATACTGTCGAATTTACCAGCTACTGACTTTTCAGCCGGTATTTATTTATTTATTTATTTATTTAATTTCTCCATGCATGAGTGCTTGTTTCTAAGTGCGATCGCAGATGAGGCCAAAAATAAGGGCAAGCAAACTCAATAAAGGATTTAAAACAAAGCTCACGCCTTCCTTGAATTCAGCAGGGCAAAGTGGGTCAGCTGGTGATTTCTGAGTCTTTGTTCTAAGACTCTCTCTGAAATGAGCATGCAAAATATTTCAATCTTTTGATTAGCATCCTCTAAAGCAATTATTTCTGTAGTTATATATTTTGTTACACACAACAAAAGATTCACGTGTATCATGCCCAAGGGCTGAAAGCAAGCGCTAAGTGCTTTATTTCAGATGTACTTCACGGACTTTCTCGTTTTAGTTCCAGGACCTGGGCTAATGAATTAATACAATATAACCTCAAGCAGCCAAGATTTGCTGTCTGACAAAGGAGGCTAAAATCGCACCTTGCTCTTCTCGTATGCCAGAAATAAAGCACGTCATTTTAAGTTGTGCGTTTTTCCATCATTTGGTGGTAACTATGACTTGGATAAAAATGCCTGTTTATGCCATTAAATGAGTTCTCTCCTGGAGAAGGTCACTATGTTTTTTTAAATCATCTCTCCTTTCTCCACCTGGACAGTTAAAGACGAAGGGCTCCGGACCACAGAAACCTGATGATTATTAACTGCTCCTACAATTAGCACTCAAACCACCAGCCTGCAGGAGGGAACGTCCCGCACTTTGCGTTACCTGCAGAGCTACGTGGATTGTATTTACTGTCTCTGGGGAAAAGTTCTCAGTATGGCATTCTTGAAATGGGCTGGGAAAGAGCTCCTCAGAACTCGTGTGTACTTTTTAATACAAATGAAAACTAAGCCATGTATCGCACTTCACTGCTGTACGCCTAATACACTGTTTCTTCTATAATTTGGGGTAGGAATCTAATCACTGAGGTGAATGACTAATATACAAAAGGTGGTAAGAATAATTTTATTGTATTATTAAATAGGATGTCTTCTTTTCAACCATTACAAATTTGTAGATACTACATGAATGACAATACATAATTTATCTTTTTATTGTTGCTCATATGATATATTTACACATGCAGTTAGTACCGATGTCATGCTACATTTTGTTAACAGCATTTTGTTGTTTGCCAGACTCAAAATGTGAGCATTTCATCTTCTGTAGGAAAATATCTCTGGGTGGGTGGCACGCGTGTACTAATCTGCAGAAGGTTGGAATCGTCAGCGTTTCAGGCCAGGCTCCTGGAGCATGTTCCCTTTTCTTCCCCAGTACACATCATCAGAGCAATGAATTTCTATCAGGAAAGTGCGCTTTTTTTTTCTTTCTTTTTTTTTTTTAAATGTAAGAAACAATATACAACTATACCCAGCAGCCCGGTGATAATGGCTAAACCCCATGAAACTTGATGGCATTTACTACTGATACCACTTGGAAAAGAAAACATTATAAAAATATTTGGAAGCCAAGCAGAAGTAGAATTTCAGCAGTGGTTTGTTGTTTTGTTTTTTTTTTTTCTGGCATAGATTACGACACCACCTGCACAGTTATGAAATGATATGTTGCTTTGTGAAGGAAGAGTTGGTGCTACGAGCAAGTTATTTCGTTTGGACTCTGTAATGCTTGAAAGGCCGTTGAACTATTTTATTCTTAACATAAATAATCTGTACACATCCTGTCCATTAACATTGTGACATCTGACAAAGACTTTACAAATGCAACTTCAATTTAAAATTGTACATTCATTTTCAAGTTGTACATATTTCCTTCTTTGTTACAGAGGAAATTGCAATCGGGCACAATAAATATAGTGTAATCAAACTGTAGTCTCCAATTCCATATGACTCAAGATTAACCAGAGTTAAAAATGACTACTGTTAAGATATTGTAATCATCCAGGAAGGTAAAAAGGTGCAGAGGACAAACTGCACTGCAAAAAAAAAAAAAAAAAAAAAAAAAAAAAAAAAAAAAAAAAAAAAAAAAAAAAAAAAAAGGCAGCCTGGAGTTTGATAAAAAACCAAAAGCTAAAATATGAAAGTAAAATTCCAGTGTCACTGTTTAAAATAAACATACAGAACAGGGGTACGCAGGGAAGGGGCACCCACACATTAGAGACATTATCCTTTAACGGGAAGTGGTGAGTCGCTGCGGGAAGGGTGGCCGATCGCTGTTGGCTAGAAAGCTGCAGGCATCGCGCCGCTTAGGACTTGTTGGCCGAGCCAGAAGAGCGGCGCAGTTTCATGGACATGCGGCTCTTGCTAGTCCGAGGAGACATTGGAGAGGCTAAGTCTGTTCCATCCACCTGTGCTGTTGCTGCTGCTGGAGTTTCTCCCGGCTGAGTCTCTGGGCAGAAGCCTGCAGAGGACAGCAAGAACCAGACGGGTCAGTGCCACCTTTCCCCACTCGCAGCGAGGGAATCTATTCACAAGGGGCAGAGAGGAATTTCAGTGCTGCCGTCGCTCCCACAGCATCTCCTAGCCCTTTACCAGCTGTGGGTGAGGGCACTGCACGTGGAGCTACCGACTGCCACAAATCCACCTCTAGAGAAAAGAGGATGCCAGAGACCACTGAGATACGGGACTGTGGAACCCCCTTGGCTCTCGGCAACTGAGGCAGCACTGAAGTGGGCGACATTTTCCCGCTAACCGGGAGAACAAACGCCTCCAGTTCCCTCACAGGGATGGGGAGCCGTTATTCAAACCACAACCCAGAAGAAACCAGTCTTTAATGAGAACATGAAGGTTAACAGCTCGTTGCGCATGAAGGGAGCTCTAGGAATGCAGCTGAGGAGGTGGAGTGAATCGGGGGCCAACTGGGAGAGTAAAACATCTTCTCCCATCCCAACTTTAGTTAGTGCTTCCAAAAGGAAAATTCCTACAGGGCCCACAAGGCAGAAGCTTGAACAGATCATACTAACTGGATGCACCATACATGAACGTTTCTTTGTAAAAGGAACAAGATGAATTTGAGATAACGGGACGTAGTTCATTAGCCCAGCGCCCAGAGCTACGCTCCAGTGGGCCCCGAGTCCTCACTGCAAGAGGACAATGCTCTTCCCTTACAAAGGGCCCATCTCCAAATCTTCTTCCATAGGGACACAAAAGGAAAAGGAGAAAATATGAAATCAAAATTACATTCTCCTTCCCATGTACAGAAAATTAACACTATGAACTCCCAACCACAAAACTAAACTGCATTTTAATTAGCCATTTACAGGGACTGACGGCCTGATTGAAGTCAATTACCTCTGTCGCCACTGATCGCTTCTGACCCATATAAATTAAGGACAGAAGCTTAGTCCTGCAGAAGCCAATGGGGAAACCCCTGCTGACTTCAGTAAGCCACAATATCACTTGCTGTTTCTTCCCCATCATGCTATTACTGGCAATTCTTTAAAATAATAATGCAATAACCAGAGCTGAAGACCTCTCTCCCTCGGCATACATTTCATATATAAGGGGTGCAAAAACCATTCAAAACTGATCACGAGTTATTTTGACAGACTCCTCTAAAACCAAATGAGGTCATCAGGTAAGAAGTCTAAGAGTACATTTAAAACGTATTGTCATAAACCTCACTGATTTAGCGACCTGGCCATCCTCCTCGCCTGGTCCATCACCTGCCTGCTCCGGAGAGACGGCACGGTACTTTCTATCTTTTTCAAACTGACACGACCCATCGAAGTGACAGGGAGGAGAAAGGGCTGTTCTTTGTTCCCCAGCTGGTGACAGTAATTCTGTTCATGAACTAGGTACTTCATTGCCAAACAATCTGGAAAAGCACGATAATGCCTGACTCACTGCACCTTACAGAAAAAGGCAGGCAGGGAAACATGCACTCTCATTTTCTGAAATTCTATCTTGTTCTAATTTTACAAGGAATTAAAGCATTTCAAATGGTGGAAGTTAGAGAACAGAAAATAACCGTTGTTGTTTTGCACAGCATACCATTCACAGCTAGCGTGAAAGACCTTCCGTTTCAAGCCTTTGCCCTTTACCTTGATGTGGCCAATGCTTTCTAGTGGAGGTTTTGGAAGGAGAAGAAATATCACAGCATTTCTTTCTTTGTTGAGAATGAAGAAGTGATGAGGAAGGAGGAGTGGAAAGAAGTGAGGAAGGGGGGGGAGAGGAGAAAAGATAAAAGATAACAGGTGTGAGACATGAGACACGAACCGCAGAGATTGAAGGGTATTAACAGATGAGCACAGAAAACGGAATTTCGAATTTCATTATGCAATTGCTGCTCATGCTACAGGTTAAAGAGAGTGATGAGTTAGTTATGTGCAATGAAGCAACAGCTCTGAAATCCGGCGTCATACTTACCAACTAAGCATTACAAGAAAAAAAGGAAGAGAGAGAGAAAGAAAAGAATTCTATAACATTATAAAGATCCAGCAGCCTTATTCACAGCAACTGAGATACATCCTAAACATTGTCTGAAACGCTTGCTTAAAGTCTGTGAAAACAGTTAAATACTCACACACATACACACAATCGAGAGGGAAAAACAAATGGCAACTTGACATATGGCTTCTGCTCCCCAGTTGTTTCACAGTATTAAGCATGCTAAAATTATAGCCAGTCTCAACATGAGACTCCTGAAATCAGGTAAAGAAGAAAAAGCAGAGTATTTAAGCTAGTTAGTCTGCATTGAACTGTCAAACTCTAGTGTGGAATTTTATCACGGGTTGGATAAAGAAAACATTAAAACACCCCGTTATTTCAATTGAAGTATTATATCTTAAAATTTTGCTCTAATTCCTGCAGACGGAAGCACAGATTCACATGCAATCCTATTTTTTTTAAGAAACTGACTTAGAGCTATCGAAGAACAGAAGTCATGTAAAGTGATATTCACATCTGAACGTATCACACCAGAAGAGTGAAGAATAATGGCACTTAAAATATATTTAAAGTCTGACAGCAATCAACAGGCTGATTAGTAACTCAATTTCTTTGGATTTTAGATAAGCATCTATATTTATATATACATACATACACATATACACACATGTGGCTATTAAATGTGGTATATAGAAATTTTGCAGGTCTTGTTTCCCCTTCATGGTTTTAAAATCTTCAGTGTAAAATGTTATTATCTTTATCTCTCTACACAATGAAATATTTAGTTATCCAAAATATAAAAATAGGGTTAAATAAGAAGGCTGTATTGACATTTGACCTACAAGCAGAAAGTTCTATAAAATAAACAAAATAGATGTGTTAGGATTTTTAAGAGGTTGAAAAATGTCAGGAAGTGATCCATATTTTTCATCTCTTAGGCTTGACAAGTGACAAATATCACAGCCTGATGAGCTAAGATATTTTGGGGCCGTAATGTAAAGCTGTTTCAATTGCTTCTGAACAAGGAGGTGGATAAACAAAGTTGAAATGCGACATTTTCACACTCCATTTGAAAATTTTAGGATCTTGTAATAATACTATGTCAGTTATTTGACTCAGAAATTAACTATTTAAATGTAAAATGGAATCCTAACTACACACAGAGTTAGAACTCAGGTGAGGTGGAGGAATCTGGAGGTATCGTAACAGCCGCGTTGGCATGACTCGTCTCGCTCATCAGTTCTGACTTTAAACGAGGTGAAAAACTCCCTGAGCCAAAGCCCAACAGGGTGCTGATGTTAAGACAGGGTGCCGCGTGGCAAGACCACTCTGGGTACGTCTAGCTTTATCACACCTTGTCGTCTGGATCAGCATTTTCCTGAGTGCCATCTCTGAGAATGACCACAGAGTGAAATATCAGTTGTGCACGTCGGTAAATTTTGACGACCTTTTAAGGTACTTCAGCCCCCCCGCCTGACCTCAAGGGGAGAGGGCCATAATTTTTGTATGGCTTGTGCCCTTTGCCACACTTACAAATTCCAGCCAAGTTGTCCGTCATGCTCAGCACAGCCTTGCTAGGGTCAAGGAATTAAGTCTCTCACTAATTTGGGGAAATGAGGAAACGTAGTGAGGAGCGGATGCAGAGAGAAAGACTGCAAAAGCAGCTGCAAAGCAAGATGAGAAGGAGAGGAAGAGATGGTGAGTGGCCTGAAGACCTGTGAGTCTGGAACTGGGCAGGAGAGAGAGAGCCAAGAGCCAGCCATGAGAAAGAACACAGCAAAAAAGATTAAGTTTCTGCCAAAAGAGTGGCAGAGCCCATGTCCAGCGAAGAATGCTCTGCAGAACCTGGCTGGAAACATACTGGGTAAACCCGTTCCTCTCTGTCAACTAATATCTGTGAAACCCACTGGCAAAACTCCCAATCTTTCTGCTAGTGGAGATTCAGGCAGAGATAAGACAGCTTACCATTACTACCAATTATTGCCTTATCTCAGACTGCAGGAGTTGGTGGTGGATCTAGAGGTTACAGTTTTGCTTATGAATCACGTGGCTGTTAACCAGCATTACAGAATTTCTCTTTTGCCCTATGCATCAAAATAAAAATGGAAGGAATTACACAAGGAAAACGGTGTCACAAGACCATAAATTCATAAAGTCAAACATTAAAAAAATAGGAAATATCAGGATTGAAATTTAATTTTGTCCCCTTGTGCCTATGCACAGGATGCTTTTGAATTGGACCATCATACTCTATTTTTTTCAGTGGACCCATTTCATTAAATGTAGAAAATTCACCCATTTGGGTCTCTAGCAGTCCACACTGAATATACTGCCTCAAAGTGCTGAAGATCCACAGCTGTCACCCAAGTGATTAACTTAAGGACAACAGTTCAGAAATGCATAAAGTTTCAGCTTCAGTTGTTCCAATATAAAGTTTTTTGGAAAACTTCAGTAACTTTGAGGTTTTCCTCTGATTTGGAGTGAAAAAAAATTCTTAAGTTTGGCCGGAGGAGGGATAATGAGAAACTCTTCCCAGCCCTCCTAGACACACAGCCCTCGTTTCTGTATTTCAGCTTCACTTCCAACCACAAACCTGAACCACCAACAACTGTTGCTTAGACCCGTCTACAGTGAAGCACGATTGTTTTCATCTGTGAAGGGGTAATCCAGGGCCAAAAAGATTCTCAGTTCAAAGTTACGCTGCAAACAAGCAGCAGAAGAGGTTAAGATGGCAGCTGCTGAATCTGAGTTTCCCTTGCACAAGGCTGAAGTATGGTTACCTCTACCTTCCCTGCTCGCCTGCCCGTCAGCTGGCATCCCGCTTACTCTGGGAGCGAGGCAGCAGAATTATTCTGAACACAGGCTTGAAAATAGAAGGAATGATAAAAAAGTCCGATGCTTTTATCATGAGGAAAATACTATGACTAGTGTAGGGAGGCCCTTTAACTTTACACAGTTAGTAAACCCTTTATAAGGTTTACTAATCTGAGGTACTGTTTTTAGTAGGACGAGAGGAAAAAAAGAAGACAGAGAAAAACCAAACCCAAGACATCAGTACAATCTGAAGCTCAGGATCTTAGCATCACAGGGTCAATAAGCCCTTCGATATCATTGAGCTTACCATTGACCGTCCCCTCAACCTATTCTGGTGTCACAGAAATCTGGTTTACTCAATAGCGATATAGAGCAGGAGTTACACTATTTAACAGAGTATTTGCAGTCACTCTATTTAACAGAGGCAGCACAGAGGAAAAAATACAGAGGCAACTGAATTATATTCTGTGATTAAGTGCAGGTAAATCTCTTTTTTTTTTTTTAATGTACACATCCACTACACTAATCAGGTACCCAAACATGGGAAAGTGGACTTGTCAGGTGTTTTGACTAGGCAAACCAAGTACCTAGATAAAAAAGCAAGCAGCCACAATCACACTGTATTGAAGAGAAACCTCTCTAAGGAAGGAAACAGCTTCTGCTGAGGACTGAGCCTTTGATAAAATATGCCAATCTGAGGAAACCGAGTTTGTTACCCAATGGCATGTTCTCTATTTGCTCTGATTATCATAGCAAAAAATGGCATGCTGAAACCAGCCAACGGATCACACCACCACCAACAACAAAATTACACCAGCTGGTGATGGGCTGTAGTAGCTTCACAGTTTCTATATATCTTCCTTAGAAGAAGAAATTTTACATAATGTTTTGTAAAAATTAAACACATTCAGCAATTGTAATCTTGGAGATCACGATCCAATTAAAGAATCAAGTCTATAATATCTGAAACGTGGAAAACTTTTCCAGTCTCTTCTGGTGAGTTATTTTTCATTAAAATGAACAGGCACAAATGAAATACTTCGTATTTTAAAAAAAAAGAATTGTGATGTATTTTTAGAAGCTGGTCAGAAATTTTCAGATGACATGGAAATGCCTGGCAGGGAGCCTGCAAGGTTTTGTCTGAGGCATCTTGGGGGTGACGAATTGTGCGCGGGTTCCCAGGCAGGACTTCAGTGCCACTCCTGTGTGCAATCCTGGCACAATTCAGAGCTCTGCACCTATCTTTCAAAAACCATGCCTGTTGTAGGAAGCCTGGAATCATAGGGGTATGTTGTTTTTCAATAGTCCATCTGGTGGCCTCTTCCCTGGGATTACAGTCTGTCAAAGTTCTGGGTCATCTGTAGCCACCTCGCTAACAGGTCTGCCTTCGCTACGAGTGGAAACCAGCGTTTTCCAGGCTAACCCCAAGCCCTGGGGTAAGTTTTTGGCAGATGACTGCAGTGTTAATTTATACCTGCCTCAGGCTTTAGAATTTATGCACTCCAAAGTCAGCCTGGAGGCAGATGGTGTGGTGCTACTCCGGGCACTCTATCCTGTTGCCGAATATGAGAGCCCCAGGAGCCCTGGATGGAACAGGAGTCAGCCCCCAGGCTGCGAGCAGCACTGCCAGAGCATCCCCGGCAACCCGGGGCTGAAATGAAAGCTCAGAGTCAGGCAGGTCTGGGGATAGGTCGTTTCACTCTGACGCTGTGTCACACTGTGCTGCATGTCTGTCCTAGGAAGCTCCTGGCTGCTCCTGACACTGATGTGTTGGTCAGTTCCAGTGCACAGCACGAGGTCCAGAAGAATGTGGCCCTCAGGACCAGACACCATGTTTTGCGGTACGCAAACACACACATGCATCTACGACGATGTGAAATACATCACAAGCTCCTATTAATGAGATTCCTGCAGAAAATTATTACATTTGATAGAAAGGTTAAGTCTCAAATCAAGTTTCTAAAAATCAAAATCTTCTTCCAGATCATGTCAGAGAATACAAAGTATAACTGGGACAATTTTTAAAGGAATATAAGCATTGCCACTGTAGAGCAGCGGTCTCCGATGCACAACCTAGTACAGAAAAGCAGCTTTGCTTCACCCCGAAAGAATGAACTAGAGAAAGAGGGCACAACGATTTAGCCTGGAATACTTCCAGAAGTGAATAGGCAGAACTGATACAAGTGCACTAGAATACAGAATATATACTAGCTATACGCAAGTGTCTGGTCTTGAATACTTACTGAGTGCATCAGGTAGGAAACACGGCAAGGACTGGTATCCCTGGTTAATGTTTTTAATGTTTCTAGTTACAGGTTTTCCCTATTCAAATGTCTTCATACATTACATTATGTTACTATTTTCTTATACTGATTTAATTAGTTTTAAATTACTTACTTTTAGTTTAGTTTCCCTTTGGTCTTGACTACTTGCACTGGCATAACTACCACTTGTTATATTTTGAAACTGCACCTCATTTCTGCTTATGGTTTATACTTTCAAGCAAAGGTGTCTCAACGTTTTAACATCTCTCAGTCATTCTTTCTGTAGTCCTATCACAACACTTCTATAATTTTAGAATTTATTTCTGCATATTTTTGCAAGTGAGAAACAGATTTTGAGATAACAACTTGCCAAATTAAATAATTCTTAGAAAATTTATTTTATTTAGATTCACAGCTTTTCCACAGAAGCATTTGGTGTATTCGTCATTAAATAAAGGTTTCTGAACAAGGAATTTCAAGTGTTACACATTCTTCTTCTCCTTCTCTCCTATGTTATCACTGCAGAATGTCTTACAACATCAATGAAAGACAGTACAGGGTACAAAACACACCACTGCCATCCAGTACTACTTGTTCATGCTGAGAAACAAAGGTCAACACAATAAAGTGTTACTCATCCAACAACTGTCTCTATCATTAGTTACCTTAATCCCAGAACCAGTGTTAGTGCTTCATGCAGACCTGAGGTTAGTAAAAGACTAAAACTTTAAGAAGATGTAGTGGTCATTTCTCAATCAGTGTGAAATTCTTTTTAGTGTGGACAAGGGCAACAAGGAAAGTTTGCATACAATTTGGTTACAAGCTTAGTGCTCTAGTAAAAGTAAGAGGAACAAAGGGGTTTTTTGGACACTTTGTCTTACCTTCAGATAAACAGAACTGATATTTAATGATCTAAAAAGAGGGGAAATAAAATAATGAAATAATCATAAGGAGTTCAAGAAATTTCAGAACAGGAAGGCCTCGAGTTACTCATTTTCTTTTACTGATTTTCTCATTAGTAACTGAAAATGCAGTATCCTCTTATAAAACAGGTATTTTACTGGAAAGCAAAAATGACCTTAAAACCAACTTTGCAGCTAATAACCTGGAAACAAAATTGACGATTGCAAGGCTCTCAGATTTCCAATTTAAAACTTTACATTCTAAAAATGTAGTGAGCCTTAAAGCTTTCTTATAGGGAAGGTGTACTTAGATTAAAGAATGGATCTACCTGAACCAGCCTGGATGAAAGAGTACCAATGCTCCCACGGAGACTTTATACAGGAGAACACAAAATTTACTGTAAAAATACAGGGTCTGGTTGCTGTATTAAAGTAGCTAGCCAAATCTTAATGCCAGGCACTGGCTCATGATGCCAGGCAAAAGAATAAAGATTTAAAAGCAGCTTTGCCCAGGTTCTCAAATATGTACATACAGCCTTTCAGATTAATGGCAACTCTGAATGATGTGCGCAGGTCTGAATTTGTAGTCTTTATAAGTAAGGATACTGCATTTCAAATAAGATTGTACAAAACCAGTTCTTTACTGTAATTCTTACCTGTCTCTGAGGGCAAATGGTGGTAAGGTGCTGGACAGAAAACCTGAGCAGCAAAATCCTCAAAAGTTGAAGGCTCTAGATGATGTTGAACAATTGTTTGCAGGTATCGTGCTCTCTCCTCGTAACTGGTTTAGCCAGGAGTTAAGGAGCAATTTACATCATGTACTGTAACTGCTAAATATCAGTGTAGTAACTCAGAATTCCTGTTTTTATTAAATACGTATCATGTATTCCAGTGATTGTACGCACTACAAGATAAACATGATTAATGTAAACTTTATGGCTCAGCTATCTTTTCTTTTCACGTGACACAACACTTTCTAACATTTTTTTCCAAACAGCGGCAACTTAAATACCCTCTTTTAAGTAACTGATTTGGCTGTACTCTGGTCACAATTAAATATAAAAATGTTACAATTTTTAAGAGGTATCGCATGAAAAATAATGTTACTATTAACAAAGTAAATGATTTTGCACTCTTCCATAACAAACTGCTTCCATAATCCCTAAATACACACACACACACACACGCAGCTAAGATAAATATATAGTTGAGTATTGAGATACATTTGAGTATTGGGAAAAACACCTCATCAATTATGCTGTTAAAACAAGCAAGAATATTTGTAAAGAATCCACAGGACCCTTAAATACTGGCTAACACGGTGTCGGCAGGGCACTGACAGCAAAATACTGTACTTCTTCCTTTTCCCTGTGTTCTCCCTCTCTGATATTATTGACAAGAGCCCGGTATCTTGAAGTGTTGTTGCTTTTGAAGAACCCTCTCCAGGCTTCTTGTTCCAGCAGGCCTGATTGTGCTGTTAGCACAGAGAGAGCGAGAAAAAGAGAGAATATTTCTGCTGTTCATGAAAGCAACTATGGAAATGGCTGTCAAAATGTAGAGCAGCAGGCAGCAACATACAATTATCAAGAAAAACTACCATGCTGACTTCTTGTCGGATAGTTCCTGAACTGAGAAATCGGTTAACCTTTTCTCCCACAACTTTCAAACTCCTCCAGCTGGACTCAATACATCGGATGAGGAAGATCTTCTCCAGTTATCTCACAGAACCATAAAATGATCAGAAAATTTTCCTGGCCATTAGGCTTCTGCACACTTTTTTTTTTTCATATTTTATTTGCAGATAGTGTGATTATTTTCCTCTTACATAGCTCTGTGTTCCCCCCCCCCGCCAAAAAAAAAAACCAACCCCAAAAAGTCACCATGCTGTGGAGGAATGCACTCAGAATCGATTTCTTGAAGGTTCTCGGTTCTGATTTCAAGTCTGCTGCTCTTTTTGCAGAGGATGGGAAGTGAGGAAATCACCTTTCTGACTTAATTTCACCATCTGTGAAATGGGGATAATATTAATCTTGCACACATTTTTAGCAATCCAAACATAAAAATTGCATTATAAGTGATAAGCATCTTTTATAACAGGTGCTAACATAATAAATAAATAATGATACTACTTTCAGTTCTTATAAGTAATAAAATTCTCAGCCCCAAATTACAGCTGGAAACAATTCCTGTCACCTTAGCTTTTAAACCTATACTTCAACAATTACATAACTTTTCCTATGAAACCATTTTGCAGTTGTTTTCTGTACAATATTTACAATAGATTTTGCATTATATCTCAATATGAAAAAATGTACAGAGATTACATTATCTGAAAACAACTTCTAGCGAATACACTGATTTTCACTGTACTTCCTCAGACCACAAGTTGGTTACACAGTAAAACTGGGGAACAATTTTCCATTCAAAATCCGTGTTCCAAATTATTTCTGGATCCTGAGACAGCTGAACCTCAGCAGAAGTCTCGGGCTGGAGAAGCTATAATAGAAGCACAGGGACAAGAGAAAATATAAAAATCTCCCATTGTAATGGTTCTTAGGTTGGGGTATAAACACAGTATTGAGCCTTAACAGAGGAGAGTAATATAGCACAGTTTTTAAGAGGCTATGTATAAGTGGTAGAGGATGAAACTGATGGTTGAAGTCTAAATAATACTACGTATCTCACAACTTGTTGAAAAGCACTTTTTTCATTGGGGGAGATTCACAGCTGCTGAATTTTCTGCAGTTAATAGAGTCCTTTGATTCACAGCAGTGCCCCTTGCACAAAAAATACTGGCCTTTGTGTATTACCAGAAACTAATTTTCTATTTGGCTGAAAAGGGAAAAATGGGGTTATTGCTTCTCCCTCCTACGGAGCTTTTCATTATGCCTGATGCACTCAACTTCTAAGCTCTTCTGAGAAAAAAAAATAACTGAAGAGGCAAGAGGTAGAAAAATGAGCTTGTTAGCACATTAGAAGTGAAGTATCTTGGTGGGCCCTAGAAATTCCCAGTGGTGTGTTAACTTATCACTCTATGCATGCTGGCACTGATAGTCTCCCAATTGATCACTCTCTTTTCGCACCAAAGGTGCTGCCAGGAAGCAAAGGCTGAAGGCCCACAGGAGAACAGGCTGCTATCAAAACAAGCTGTTTTTAAAAGTCTGCTTGAATGGGTAAAATGTTTCATGAAAAAGTAGGGTGGAGACACCTACCTGCTTTTAAAATGCTCTACTTTCAGAGGTCTCTAAATGAAACCTTTTAGTTTATCCTATTATATCCAAAGCTTATACACAAATAAGGCTAAAATGAAGGAAAGTTACCGCTTTGAATGTGACAAGGACATTCCCATTCTCCAATCTGGGTACCTATCTCCTAACCAAATAAAGAAGTCTTGACACAGATGCTGACTGAAGAGGATAATGATGTTTTCATTACACAGTGGAGAGGACAAGCTTACATCAGTTCTAGAAGTCTAATTCAAATGCACACTTAGTACATCCAGAGAAAAATAATGCAGCTAGCCAGGTTGCCATTTGTCCTAACAATCCACAAAACCATCTGCAGCTTGTTAAAAACAGAACCCTGCTTAAAAACAAAACAAAAGTCTGATGTGAACGCCAAGCCTAGAGCTTGCTGTATTCTCCACTAAGAAAAGACACGCTCTCCTCAGAACTCCTCTTCTGTATTAGAGACTGAGTAGCTGAGATCGGGATACTTTTTATCTTCTATTCACATATACTTTAAGAACATTCTATTATTTTAAAACTCCAAATTTGTATGCTTTTGTGGCTGAAATAATCTAGTTTTATGCTGTATTTGAATGAAACTATCTGCAAGAGTGACCATAAACCCATGGTAGTTAATTTCTACATGACTTCTAATAGGCTAGACATTTATTTCTTTAAAACGGTGCTCTCTAGGGAAGAGTTATTAGCACCTACAAATTGAGTGGCACACACAAACTCAATGGCTAGTAATAATAGGCCAATGCAAGCTGTATTCTTACTGCGAGTGGATGTTGCCACTGGCATCGGCAATTAAGATGGAATGGGAAGGATGCACAGACAAACCAATGGAGAAAAACTCTGGCACAGAGAGTGACTTAACACTTAAACAACAGTGTTGTGAGCTTTCTGCTTCTGAAGAAGGTGCTAACTGGAACAAAAGAGAATGGATAAAAAGGTAAGATATACATTAATTATACAGGCAGTCACCCAAATCTGTCAGCTAAAAACTTGCAGATATATAATCTGCAAAAAGCATAACGAAAAATCTAATGACTTCATTATACTTTTTCAGAAGATATTGTTCTGAAAAATACAATCAATACAAGAAAAAATCAGACATCGTACCTTTATAGGTCACTCAGGTTATAGTCACTTCAGCTAAAATTTAATTTGCATTACAATCCATTTTACTTATTGTCTAAATCTGCAATTATTTCTATTAATACTGAAAATACTTTACTTTCCATTATTACTGGTAAGCATGCAATTTTTTAGACCTGTTGATTTGCACTTGGGAACAAGCACCGAAATCCTGGCTGTCGGATCACCTACTTACGCTTAATCTGTCTGAAAAAACACATCTCACGTCTTCACCTAATAGCTCTCCATCACCGTTGATTGTATCACTTTCTTTTTTAACTCAAGCTCTGTTTAGATTCCTATGGCAGAATACATCTACATCTTGCGGATGCTTTTTCCATAATCCAAGCTAAAACTTTTTCTAGCCATCTGCATGAATAAATTATTTCAGCTCTTACTTCCCTTCTCAGTTATTGCCACATCTTTCTCTTTGACCTCAATAAACAAATTTTACTTCTGATATCTACCGGGAGCATTGCAGAGCCCACTTTCGGAACATACTGCTCAGATGGGGTATTCTCTTCAGAAACCGCCATCAGCCCACCACTCCCTAACACAGATGCAGGCTACTTTTTTTAACTTCATAGTCTATACCTATTTGATCAATTTTATCAAAACTACTCCTGCCTCCAGTCAGTTAACACAGACAGTCACACTCACGCTGATATTTTTAGACAGGTACTTTTGTACTTTCTTCCACGTGGCTTCTTATAGCTAGTACCAGGTCTCTGTAAACGTCTACAAAACAATCCCCCTTCAAATTCTCCCCTTTGTTACGATGTTTATCTAGAAGGAAACAAGGAAAATACCTTGGACGGCCTACCCAGTCTGTTGCTGTGTAGGTCACATAACTATTCATTCCATCTGCTATTGTTTCACATTTCCCTGAATTTTGTATCTGCCTTCATCTGTTGTCTTCGGTTTTATACTTGGCTTTTTTATTTCTGGGGGGCAAACAACATCTGTCTTGTGCTGTACTCCATCTCAGTATGAGACTGGGGTCTATGCTAAGGATGTGAGTGTGCCACAATAATACAAGCAAAACCACTCTCTTCCTTACATCTTCATCCACCATTGTAATCTTTTTCCTTTATATTCAAAACAATTCCCTCACATTAACTCTTTTTTTTCTTTTATCCATGGCTTTGTCATCCTTCAGTTGCAGAAGGATGCAGAAATCTGTTTGCTACATTTCCCCACATCTCTAGTTGTTTAGTCTTTATTTTTCCTTTCCTGTAATTTTAACCATGCAATCTCTACAAAATCCTGTACTTCCTATTGTTCAGCCTCTTCTACTGTCTCCCCTCTTCTACTGTCTCCATCTTTCAAGTCCTTCTGTTGAATTGCGTCATTCTGATTAAACGTTTTCTTTCCATTCTTCTTATTCACACCTCTCTCACACTTTAGAACAAAG